ATGGACAAAAAAAGGGGTATGACGTTAGGTGGTTAGAGGGTGGGATGGTAGATCTTAGCGTAGTTGGAGGGTGGGACAATATGATCAAAATACATTGTATGAAACTCACAAAGAATTAACTTTTAAGAAAAAAATGCATATAATTATTTACATGCAGTTACTCCAAGCAAGTCTTGGAATTTCTGTGATTCCACATGTGTTCTAGTTTTCTTCCAATTAATGTGACAAAACACTTAGACCAATACCAATATGGTGAGGAAAGGGTTTATTCAGCTTACATCTCCCAGGTCACAGTTCATCACTGAGTGAGCCCGAGGTAGGAACTCAGAGCTGGAACCTGGAGGCAGGAGCTGGAGTGGCTTGCTCCCCTGGCCCCTGCTCAGCCTGCTTTCTTATGCAACATAGGCCCACCTGCCAGGGGATGGCACCATCCATAATGGGCTAGGCCGTCCCACATCACTCAACAGGCCAATTCCATGTAGAAAATTCCCTGATTGAGGCTCCATCTACCCAGGTGTGTCAAATTGACAGCTAACGCTATCAAGCACAACATAAATACTCCCATAAATTCCTTAGGCATTTTGACAAGGACCATTGCTTTGAGAAACAAAGAAAATGAGTAAATAACAGCAGTAAAATATATTTATCATCCTGCATTTATAACTGTTACTAGGTATATTGTTTAAGGCAACCTCTTTATTATTTTATTTGTAAAAAGAAGTAATTACAATAAACAAACTCCAGATGTTTATGATTTGTGTAGTTATCTTAGAATTTTGTCCTTGTTTAGTTTTTGGAATGCTGAGAATAGGGGTCAAATATATCTGATAACATGACTTCTGACAGATAGAACCATATGTAGCACTTAAACTATATTTATTTCTAAAAATCAAGAATATACTAGACACTATATTAATGTCTCACTTTTGTCATGTTTCTATAATAACTTATGATATCATAATGATACACAATAGCAATAAAGGCCCCTGTGTGTTTGTATTACTCACAACACTAAGAGAAAATATGGAAATATTCCTAATATATCCACAAATGGTGATTTTCCTTACAGATAGCAAAGTAAACTGAATAATTTTAAAAATAATTTAATTTTTTTTAAACTCAAAATAAATTGAATAATTTTTGCTTGTCAAGGATGTGATGCTTTTGTGTGTTGCTTCTTTTCAAGAATTCTACAAATTCAAATAAGATAAAGTAGACTTAATTTTCCAGAGATTTTCTATTAAGGCATCTTTTAGAGTATGTAACTCCTCTTATCATTACCTTCATCACTGGTTACAAGCTGAAGAGGTGGGAGCAGGAAAAGCATTACTTGTAGAATGTCACTTTTCCTGCTTTCTCTGTTTTAAAGATTTGAAACAAAAGCACTCTACTTAAAAAGTGTCCATTTTTAAATAATTTAAGCTGAAAGTACACCAATGATTGCCTGTAATTTGTTGTTTTGAATTGTTTCCTTTCTTCATTCACTAATCTGCTGAGAGACATTTACTAACAGAAGACTATTTGTCTATTTGATTATGCTTTCAAAGCAGCTAAAAGAGGATTTTACATCTGCCAGCTTCCTCTGTTACATATCCATAAGAATTGGCCTGTATATAATAAACATATATTTACTTTCAGTAAGTAGTTGCATCCATAAGACTAAAAATGCTGGTTATCCACATAAAATATAATCATTAAATCACATAATTTGATGATATAATTATCTTTTGATAACTCAATATTAATTATTATATACTGATTTTGAATCATAACTGTGGTTAAGAACCTCAGACAAATTTTCACAGTATATACAGTTAAGAAGGCAAAATGGATACTACATTATGTGATTTGAATCACTTGTCCATACTGGGTATGTGGTTATTTTTGATTTGCCTCTCAGGTACAAGGCCACTCCTCCAGATAAAGGACCCATACCATCATATAACTTACAGCTCCAGCTTGCTCTTTGATAATACTCCGTGTTCTTCACAGATGTGTTCTAAGGGAACAAGAAATAGAAAGAAGCTCTTATGTTCTCTGTAAAGCCATTTTTTGCTTGCTACAAGACAAAAATAGCATTTGCATAGATGTTGATAATTCTCTTTTCTTGCAGAGAATAGTGTCTCATGATAATTTTATGGACAGTACAATGAGTGTGGAACTTTGTTGAGATTTCTGTGGATATTTGCTTGTATGGAAAACACTATGATAAATGCCTACAAGTGATTAGTGTTCTGCTTCTTTAAAATGGGCTTTGGATTATTCATCTATCAGTTTTCATAGATGAATAAATAATGTAATTTAAATTGCAAGTATATTGACAATAGGAGTGACATCTATATTCAATATCCAAATATTGATTAAATAAAAATGTACAATGTGGTTTTTAAATTGTCACTGAATACATATATGATCATTAATTAATATCAGTAGGTAGAATGATTGATTGCTAACTTCTAGATTTGTATAAAAGGGGATAAACCATTACTTTTAAAGATTTATTTTAAAGAACAAAGGGTTTACAAATGTCACATAACCAATCCTATGTCAAATCTTAAGCCTTTGGAATTAGTTGGGCCAAGGCATGAAGGCAGCTTAAAGACACTTAGATAATGATTTAGCTTACTTCACATGACAGCAGCAAAGAGAAACTTTCTCTCTGCCAATGTATAAGGCTTTGAGTATAAAATGGCAACATCACTGATAAAATTCTTTCTTCTATGAATGTTAAAAGTTCAACCCTATGATGGGGATCAATGGAGATAATCTAGAACACTTTCATAAAAATACAATAAGGAATTTCATATCATTTACTGACTAATGTGACTTGTCAGGCAAATATTAATGCAATGTAAACATAACTGATTAAGATAATTAAGACAGAATTAAAAAGATTTGACCCAGGTATGATATTACACTAGCATCTGTACATTACAGAAATTTATCTTTTTGGACCTGAGTCGGGATATGGATTGACATACAATGAACAAATCAAAACTTTAGTTTAAAAAATAAAATTAAACAAGGAAAATTAAGAGTATTTTAGATGTCCAACTTACATGAATGTGGATAGCAATACTGAAATAAGAGTTGGACCTCTTGATCATATGGACTAAGTTGGCTTTCTAAGTAAGCAACGAATGCACCATCTTTTATTTTCTTTACTAGTACTGAGCATAACTAATATGGGGGAAGTAACAAAAAGTCTTAAAGATTCTAACAGATAGGAAAATGTTTGAGATATTAAACAATACTCAGTAATTAATAGGAAGATAAATCATATAAGCATATTCATCATTAATGAAACATGTAATTACCTAAAGAATTATACTCCTTGGAATTCACAATGATTTCTATGTCATTTAAAGCTTTACACAGATTTTTACTATCTTAATCCTTGGGTTGTATATTTACTTGTGAAATATATTTACATTTCTTTATACATAATTTTGTTCTTCTTGATTCTAAGTTAAGAAATCAATATTATTAACTCTGGCAAATAAAATACAAAAAGATATAAAAAAAAGTTTCTCCATTCAAAAGAGAAGAATTTTCTTGAAGGCATGTTTCAGTTTGCATGCATGGATCCCCTCCAAAGGTCCTCAGGCATGGAAATACCTTAAATCTTGCTAACACCTCTAAGCACATGGTTGGAATAAAAACAATTGGCAGCTACTCAACTGAGTAGGAGAAGTACAATAACATGGATTCTTCTTTTGCTTTGTTCTGTTTAGTGTGCAACTTCTGAAATAATTCCTTGGTCAAGTTACTATTGAGTTTTTGAATATTATTCTACATAAATATAAACCATTTCATATGCACGTGCCTTCTGTCCTGAAATTGTTAGCTGAAAAAAAAAGCAAACAAAATCACATTGTTTTTTCAAACTTTAGAAATGATAGGAGAAGTATGTGATTTCAATGAACCTTTAGAACATAATTCTTCATTGGTTTCCATAATATAAACAAGTATTTAGAAGTGAAACAGTGAAAGCATGCTACACTCACATATAGTCTTCAAACCTTATATCACAGGTCTCAGAGATTTTTACCTGCCAGATTTCTCATACAAAATCAAAGAATCAGGTGAAGTATAAGAAATAGAAACATTAAATGCAAAGAAACTGAACAGAAGTTTCAGAATCACCGAAGTATTGTTAAATGAATGGACAAAAGTACTTCTTTATGCACACTGGCTCTCTCCCCAAACAAGAGGCTGAGATTGCACAGTGTTCAAACACTAGATCTTGATTACCTTGACTAATTACATTTTGGTTCATGAAAAGATATGTGGATTTTAGAAATAGAAAGAAGTAGACTTATTTTAAGTTTGGCCCAGTGTCATTCATATTGAGAAAACCACAGGCTTTTTGGTGCTGTTGTTGTAGCTGTTCAGGGTGAAAAAGCACTTTTATGTATACACAAACAGAAACCTCCTTTTCTGTGGGTAGGGATATGTGTACTGAAGTGTTAATCCTGACTTGACTGAATCATAGCTCAGAGGAGTTAAGGAAAGCACATTTGAAAACAATTTTCATTTAAATTTTATTGTAATGAGCAGTATTTTTAATTTTCTTTAAAGGCACCCAAGAATAATTACTTTTGTGAAACAAAAATATACAAAACTGTACAGAATAAATAGTTCATAGAAATCTAGCAATACCTTCTTGTAAAATAAAGCTACAGTGTCCCTGTCCTGAGACAACTTAAAACACGTATCTGTAGAAGTGCCTTTTGCTACTAATTCATGACATCTATCAGTATATATCAATAAAAAATAAAATAACAATTTTCACTATTCATTTTATACCTTTGAATTACTTGCCACATAGACATATTTCTATCATGGTCATCCACCAGATGTATGAGACATTAATACAACAAAAGAAAGCAAACTTAGCAAATGCTCTAGTTATATTTACAGTAGAATCTCAGTAGCATTAAAAAAATTCCAAGAATAAAATGTTGAGCACAAATGACATATCTTAATTTTACAGCAGCATTTACATCAAGAATATCCACACAAAATGTGTAGAAAAACAAAATATTTGCTCATTTATCCCATTTGAATGATCAGTCATCTAGTGTTTTAATTCAGAAAGCACAGGAGTAGCATTTGTTTGATTCTCCTTTGTTCAACATTCTGTCATCAATAGCCCACAAAATTAAAAACTTTACATTGTTTCATTTACTATTGCTGTTTAAAACTTAAAAGTTCCATGAAAACTGAGGGACTGACAATGCAAATTTCTGAAGTATATACTGTATAACCAACACATCCCTTACACACACACACACACTATATATATATATATATATATATATATATACACACACACACACACAGGTATTTTTTAAATGATGAAATCCAATTTCATTTAGCTATGGGTAAAGTAATTCAAGAAAATAAGGGTTGTTACAGATGTTCAGCCATTTAGATGTGAAAGAGGAATTCTATGAAATACTTTAAAGCATAGGGAGAAGTATTACTGCAATCCTTGTATGAGTTACATGCAAGGATTTATTTTATTTGGGACAGTCTAAATTGCCTGAAGATAATGCCATGGCTTCACCCAATAATCCCTGAGTTTCATTTTCTTCTTTTATCTCCCATAGTATTCCTGCTGTGCTTAAGTTCTGATTGATGACACACTCATATAAGGCACTTATTTTCCAATGTTTGGACTTTAAACAGAATCACAGCATTTCTGCGAAAGCCCGCAAGTGGTCCACTTATGTTTGCTGCTCTAAGACTTCCAAATAGTCAGGTTCAGCATGTAAATTAGCTTTAAGCTCAAAATACTCATTTTTAGTCTGTTCCACCAATACCTTCCTTGGCCGTGAGTACATTAATGTTTCCATTAATTTCAGTTCTTCATGTGCTCCAGGATAGTGAATCTCCACATCAGGCTGGAGCTGAGCAATGTTTTTTCTTAGGTACTCTGTGATTCCCAATTGCTGAAGTTCTCTTTCTTTCTCCAAAATGTTCCTATATAATGAACTTGCATCCTGGAAGGATAAAAATTCTGTTGATTGGTCTGTAGTTTTGTATTTCATATTTGAACTGGTAAGTGGCGAATGATTTTCCCGTTCTAATAGGCTCCTTTGAAGGTGTTTTGCATCATTTCCTTCTTTCTCATTCCTTTCTTCATCCTCTTCCAAATGCTTTGAACCAAAGGAGGGACTTCTATACACATGAACCATGGGGCTCACCATGTGCTGCTCATACAGAGAGGCAGAGGGTCTTTCAGTTGTGTGGTGTGTTGTCTTATGTCCATACATGCTGTACTGAAGATGCACAGGACTGTTCTCCCGAATTTGCTCATCTACTTGTTTCTTTTTGTGTCTTCTTCTGCGGTGGAGAACAAGAACCACTATCCCTGCAGCACAGAACACAATAGTTATGAATACGATCAGAAGTCCTAATATTAAAACGGATAGAGGCACAGCATCAGTAAGAGAACCTAAGATAGTACCAGCTGGATTTGTTCCTGCTGTGGGAGAAGTGACTATGATGTAGCTCGTCTGAGTTGACAAGGATGGGTTATTCACCAAACCAGGGCAAAGAAGTTCACTATTTAGGGCTTTCAATTCCTTTTTGTCCAGATGTGATGGGGAAGTGCAGAGGATATCATCTGTCACTGTGTTCTTGCCTAGCTTTTGTATCCACTGCTGCAATCCAACCAGGTCACAGGTACAGTCCCAGGGGTTATCCTCAAGGTCAATCTGGATCAATAAGTCAAGATCATCTAAGACGTTACTTACAGGTAAATGGGTGAATTGGTTTGTTTTAAGATTTACTCTAGTAAGAGGAACACCTGAAAATATATGTGGTGGTAAACCTTGAAGGAGGTTGTTATTTAAATAAAGCACTTTTAGTTTAGGCATTGAGTTGAAGGTTCCTGGTAATATTTCCTTAACTGCATTGTATTCAAGATACAAATACTCAAGACTATGGAGACCAAGAAACATGCCTCTATTCAATTTAGTTAGATGATTACCATTGAGATACAGCTTTTGTAATCTTGTTAGATTCATAAATGAGCCTTCTTCAAGAACTTCAATACGATTGTTTCCCAAGTGAAGCATTTCCAAAGTGAAATATTCCACCAGATCAGATTTAATTAATGTATGGATAATATTCCCTGCTAGAATAAGCTTCCTAGTATTTTGTGGAGGAGGTTGTAGATCTGACAAGCTTTCAATATTGCGCTCTTGACAGTGGATTAGAAGTCCTGAAGGGGATAGGACTTTGCAGTTGCAAGGAATTGGACAGTAAGGTGCTGGAAGCTGAGTGGATGGCTTTGTAAGGTAAGGTATCAAACCTGCTGCCTTAGTAGGTGCCTTTAAGATGGATGTGGTCTTAGTAGATAAGCGGCTGTCACTTACTGGAGCTGTTACTGCCAGCAGTGATCCTGAAGGATCCTCATGTTCTTCATACACTGGTGGAGTAGGACAAATGGATTCCTTCTTCAATCTACTCAATATGCTCCCTTTGAAAATTGGAGGACTGTTACATACAACATCACCAATTATAGACTGTGGAGGCATATTTTCCAACCAGTTTTTTAGCTCCAATAACTCACAATTGCAGGCCCACTTATTGTCCTCCAACTGGAGATCCAAAATCCGACCAATGTGTTCTAAAAAACCAACATAAGGCAATGCTTGCAACTGATTTCCACGAAGATCTAGATGTGTTAGAGGAACAAATCGAAATATATTCGGAGGGAGACTCTCAATAGCGTTGTCATTTAATATTAACACTTTCAGCCGGTTGAGCTTGCTGAAGGCACTTGGTTCAATGACTGTGATAAAATTGTTATCAGCTTGCAGGAATTCCAGGTTTTCCAAACCATGGAAAGTATCCTCTTTAAGAATTTCCAAAGAATTATGATTGATATGGAGTTGCTTGAGAAGGCCAAGGCCATTAAACGCACCAGTCTCAATATCTGCGATGTTATTAAATCCAAGGTGAATTGAGAGAGCATTGCTAAGCCTGGAAAAGTCATTTGTGTGAAGCACTGTCAAGCCATTATTTAATAAGCTTAGGTGGAAAGGTCGTGATGGTGGCACACTTATTTGTGATAATGTCTTAATGCCCTTTCCTTCACAGTTTATTAGCATTATGCCATCTTTCTCTTCACAGATGCAGAGAGTGTCACAAGAACCTCTCATGGAGGGCATTGGAGATTGGGACTGTAAAGAGATGCAGGCAAGGAGAGATGGATAAAGGAGATGAATCCACAGCTTCATGTTGTCCTGGGATTTGATCTGACTCTGCAAAATAAAATGCAACAACAAGGAATTTTAATGGACAAAATCAGGGAGCTGTGTCTAATGAGTTTCCTCATAAAAGGAGACTGCTATGAAAATATGAATATCTTGCTATATCTACATTTTCTTTTAATAGTTTTCCAATACTCAGACAGAGTTGTTGTAGGTTAGTTTTGACTTCTATCTTTGTAAAAATTTATGAAAATAGAATTTATTTGTCAGTATTTGTGATCACATCTGCCAAATATCCTGTTTTTAGAAGATAAAAGAAGCATTTTCTGGCTAAGTGATATTTCAACATGATTCAAAATTGAATATTTGAAAACACCTTGGATTTTCTTTATCCCTTAAAGCAAATGAAGTTAATGCCTGAAGACAAAAGCATAAGGTAAATATGTATATATTTGATAAAATCTTATGAAGACTGAAAGTATAAAATAACAGAAAGTGTGTATGTGACCCTGTATCTGTAGTCATTTGTATGCATGTTTGCCGGGAGTATACTGTTATTTATTTATAAATATATGTTTTAACCTGTTCTGCATTTACAGAATATATTTATCAGTTTGAAAATTCATTTTCAAATTTGAAAAACTGTGTTCTCAATTATATAATAAAAAAGAGTCTTATAAAAATGACTCAGTTCTGACTCTTCTGTCTGGGACAGTGTATATAGGCATAATAATAGCAGAGGTATATGCTTAAAATGACCAGATCTCACCAAACTCACATTTATTTTGAATTTATACATATAGGATACTTCCTACTGCATTTTAATTTCAGTATGAATAAGGTAAAAGTCATTAAATATACAAGAAGAAAAATGTGATCTTTAATATACATTTCAGGATAGTATAAAAGAATAAGCAATATCTCATGTAAACTCCCAGAAAATTACTTCCTAAGGGGTTTTAAGCAAGCTATAGGGCACTGCATGTCATCACATAATTAAGCAACTGATCACCTTTCAATAAGGCATGAAATCTCAAACAATGGGCTGCAAAATAAACTGTATTCCATTCATATACATCAGTATATGCCTAATTCAGTTAAAAATGACAGCTCAGGATGAACAACATCACATATTCCAATTCCCTCAGAATTTTAAACATGCATTTGAAATAGCAGTTTTCAGAAAGACTCATTTTGAAATGAGAGCAATGGCAGATAGGCATAAACAACTCTAACAATATATAAACATTTTCATTCTTTAAATATTTTACCACAAATAGATAAGTTAAATTCAAAGATAAGCACCATATGACTGTTGAGCACTCAAAACAGTAAATGTTTTCAGTTTGTAGGTAAAATCCACAATCAGTGAACTATTCTAGACACAATCAATAATGCTGAAAGTAAACTTTGATTCTTGAAAATACATTTTCTTATAAACATGTATAATCCAAAGTTTCCTAAAGGAAATTAAAAAAAAACAGCTCGAAGAACAAAACAATAGATAGCCTCTGTGAATAAAGGAAAACGTAGAGTAGAGTTTGTACTTCCATAAGGAAACAATGGTTTTTAAACAGTTCTGAGCACTGTGCTCAGAGTCTTCAGCTTGAGCATTGTCTCCCAAAAAAAGTCTGAGTACTTCATAAAATTCTAACAAAGAAATTGACTTATTTCATCAACCATAGCATCCTGAGAATATAGCAAATACTTTCCAGATGGTAACATCTTATTTTTCACCTTTGTATGCATTTTATGCTGTTCAAAATGTACTAGGGAAGTTCTAAACTTTTCAGAAACACACCCAATTTTTAAGAACAAGGTCATATTACCTGTATCTAATACAATGTTAAAATAGTCAAAAATCCACTTGTATATTTTCAGAAAATACATATTTCCATGTCAGAAAACTATAAAAGTGACATACAAAGTTCAAAGCGTTGTCAGAACCTTGCCTATACTTGAAACTCAAACTTAAAATTTCATTATCCTTCAGGAAGCACATATATTTAGTTTCCAGTAACAAACTGAAATATTTTAGAGGGAATAATGTCATATTATGACTTTTGTGCTTCTCTACAGCCAGCTGTTGAGCTAAATGTCTGTTGCCCAGCAAGAATAGGCATCTGTTACAGCATTAGCTTGGCCAGTGAGCAAAAATGAAACTGAATATCCTTTAAGACAAAGTCTGTTTAAAGAAGAGTTAAAGATATAAATTCAGTCACTTAGTGATAATACTAATACCAATGATAGAAAAGGCTAGAAACATTCCTCTTACCTGTAATGCAGAGATGTCCTGATGCTATTTGAAATGCACAGCTGGAAGAGGTGTCCAAAGTCAAGCAGTTTCTTTATTTTAAAAGAAAACACAGACCACCACGCACTTTCTCCTCAAAGAGCAGTTTTGTCAAGTCCCATAGCTTCAGAAAGTTAAAACCTCTGGTCATAGACAAAATGCTGAGCACTTATCTTCACTGAAAGTAGTGCAGGCAGAACACATACTAGAGCATCCTGGAGCAGTAGTCCTTTTTTCCCCCAATTAATATTCACGGCATACTTCACAGCTATGCTGACTTTTTTTTTCTTTTTTTTGCATATAGTTAACCATTTACAAGCTGCTGAACAGAGTAAATAAACAAGATGTTTCACTGTTCCGCAAAGCTGGGATTGATCTCTCTTGCTTTCTTTGGTTGTAGATCCAGGCTGCTGCAATGCCGTCCTTCCTTTTTCTAGTCTTTCTTGTTAGCTCAGTTTGTTATTAGTCAGATTGCCAAGGGCTGGGAGGTAGGCGTAAATAAAGAGACTTCTTGGCTTTTGACTCAGCCTTTAAGCCCCTCCCCATCAGAAGAGCTTTAATCTGCCAGTGTCATATAACACAGGAGACAGCTCCACCTGGGGACTGCTCAACTCCTCCTATTTCTGCAAATGGTCTTTCCATTCCTTTTATACCTAATTGAGAACAAGTGAGTTTGATGTCGATAATCACATATAGTTTTAAATGTTTAATCATATATTTTCTCGTGACAGAAAGCTAAACAAAACATTATGTTGAATTCTCATGTAGCACAACACTACAGTGTATACAGGCACGTGTGCAGCGAAAGGACAAGTATGTTGCCTGCAGAAGAGTTACTTCCTGCCAGTTATTTTTTTAACTATTGTTTTGAGTTTAAGTTGGGCAACAATTAAATTCTAAAATGCTAACACAACAAACTGCTTCCCTGGAGAACATGCCTTTCTGAATTCACCATTTTAGAAATAAATGTGTGACTCAAATTTCATTACTTCTTTCTCTAGACTAATGTTTGATAAAGAAACTAGAAATTATATGCTCCTTCAGTTATTTTCATATTTTTATTTTTGACAGAACTATGGTAATTTTAAAAGTTATTTAAACAAATAAATTGACAGATAATGCTTTTATTCTGCTTTTCTAGCCCCAAAATATTAGATTGCGTTTCACAGCTGAAAGTGAGTTCACTTACATATAGAGACACTATAATATTCTGATTTTAATTGTGAAATAGAACGTTCTTTTTTAAGTTTTTTGTTATTTTTATTTTATGTGTATGAGTGCATTGCTTGCATGTATGTGAGTGCACCCTTGTCAAGCAATGCCACAAAGGTCCAAAGAGGGCTTCAGATTCCCCTGGACCTGGAGTTAAGGATGGATCATAGCCACCTTGTGGGTCCTGGGATTTGAACCTGGGTCCTCTGCAAGAGCAATCAATACTCTTAACTGCTGAGCCATCGCTCCAGCCCCAAAATTGAACATTCTTTTTCAAACAGTTCATATTTTAAATTTTACTTGTTTCTTCAAATGTTAGACATTGTAAAACATTTCTAAGGAATCTCAGTCTTCAGATTCCTTAGTTCCACAAAGGTTTGCATTTAAGAGCGCTTCCTTCTTCACACCCCAAGCCCCTAAAAGTTCTGACATTTTGTATGACTATATTAGATCCCAACATTTGTTTCACCAAAACATTCTGCTTAAGCTCACTCTTGCTATAGATTCCAAAGATTGTCTATAAAACTCTGGATCTTATTTCAGAAAATTTTATTTTTAAAATGTTTGATGTTATTTAAAACATCAAAATGGAAGAATAAAAAATGGATCACTATTAAAGTATGCAGGTCTTTATTATATTTATAAATA